GGAGGAGGGATGGACCTGGAGATCAGCAGGAGCAGGTTTGGGATGGGTAGTGTCGTGGTATGGGGTCTGTTAGCCACCTGGAAGCAAGCAAGATGTGTCCCTCTGGGTGGTTGGGCCTGCAGCACACCCTTGAGCAACAAGAGTTAGGTCCAGCTTGAGCAGGGAAACGTTGGCTCAGCCCCTCTCATCCTCAGGTCTTCGGTTTGGACTTGATCATGGGAAACGATTCCCTGTGGCCACTGCTCCTGGGCTTCATCTTCGTGCCTGCCCTGCTGCAGTGCATCATCCTGCCCTTCGCCCCCGAGAGCCCCCGCTTCCTCCTCATCAACCGCAACGAGGAGAACAAAGCCAAGAGCGGTGAGTGACCCCCGAGCTCGTCCCACCACACAGGAGGCTCCTCGGCTGCTCCTGACTCCCACTCTCCTCTTAGTCCTCAAGAAGCTACGGGGCACAACGGACGTCAGCAGCGACCTCCAGGAGATGAAGGAGGAAAGCCGGCAAATGATGAGGGAGAAGAAGGTCACCATAATGGAGCTGTTCCGCTCGCCCATGTATCGCCAGCCCATCCTCATCGCCATTGTCCTGCAGCTGTCCCAGCAGCTCTCGGGGATCAACGCGGTGAGTTTGGGGGGTACCTGGATGCCGGGGGGCAGCTGCTTCACCCAGGACTTGGGTTGATCTGGCTCCAAGGCCTGGCTCCTTTCCTCATGGCCCTGCCCTTTGTAGGTCTTCTACTACTCCACCAGCATCTTTGAGAAATCGGGTGTGGAGCAGCCCGTCTATGCCACCATTGGCTCTGGTGTGGTCAATACGGCGTTCACGGTTGTTTCGGTGAGTTTTGGCTCATGGAGCCCTCGCTGGGGTGGATGTTAGAGATGAAGCTTTACTCCAGGCTGGGGATGTGCTCATGGACACGTGTCTCCATCCAACAGCTCTTCGTGGTGGAGAGGGCCGGCCGCAGGACGCTGCACCTCATCGGCCTGGCCGGGATGGCGGGGTGCGCGGTGCTCATGACCGTTGCCCTGGCGCTGCTGGTGAGTGATGGGCATTGAAGGGATGGGTGAGCTGGGAGGAGGTTGTGTGTGCTGCCCTCCTCTGGGGTAGCTCAAAGAGGGAGGTGTGGTTGGAGAGCCCGAGGAAGGGCTGGTCCTCCTGGAGGTGACGACTGACCCCATCTCTCTGGAGGTCCCAGAACTCCAATCTGGAGAAGCCTCACGGCTTCTCTGCCAGCACCACACCCGCACAACTCCCACCTCTGGGACAGCTGATGCTTCATCCTCCTGCACCGTGCCAACCTTTTCTCTCTCCCTTGGACTAGGACCAAATGTCCTGGATGTCCTACCTCAGCATCGTGGCCATCTTCGGGTTCGTGGCCTTCTTTGAGATCGGCCCAGGCCCCATCCCCTGGTTCATCGTGGCAGAACTGTTCAGCCAAGGCCCTCGTCCCGCTGCCTTCGCTGTGGCCGGGTTGTCCAACTGGACCTCGAACTTCATTGTGGGCATGGGCTTCCAGTACATCGCGGTAATCATCTCCTGGGGCTCGTGATGGGAATGGGGCTGGTGTAAACCTCACCTACCTGGAGCCTAAACCCTGGGCCAGATGGCTGGGGCTGAGGGATGGAACTGAGGAGAGCAGGGAGTGGAACCTGCTGGTCCTTACAGCTCTCATCCCATTGGGATGTTCGATGGTGGGGAGGCCTCGGGCACGTGCTGCAGTGACGGGGCAGCGGCTTCATCCACACCCTCACCCTTCCTTCCTCTTCCCTCCTACCAGCAACTCTGCGGCTCCTACGTCTTCATCATCTTCATGGTGCTGTTAGTCCTCTTCTTCATCTTCACCTACTTCAAGGTGCCGGAGACAAAGGGCCGGACCTTCGACGAGATCGCCTCCGGCTTCCGGCAGGGAGGAGCGGCTCAGAGCGACAAAACCCCGGATGAGTTCCACAGCCTGGGCGCCGACTCGCAGGTCTAACCCGCCGCTCCGGGGCTGAGCTTGGGAACGCTCTGTACAGACCATGGCGCGGGGCCGCGAGCCCCTGCCCCGGCTTCCCCCCCCCGCCCCGGCTCCAGCGGGGACGGACTCGACCCATTTTATTATCAAGTTTTATTTCTTTTTGTTTGGGTTTTTTTTTTTTTTTTCCTGCTAGGAACGATTATTTTTTGTTTCTTTTGGGGTTGTTTCTTTGGTTTTAGCTGGTTTCGCGTCCAGGATTTCAAAGGCGATCGATGTTTTCCAGCCGGGGCCGCGTTCCCTGGGCTCTGGAACGACGCGACGGGTCCCTCGGCGAGCATCACATCACGTTAGCGGAAGGTTTTAAAGCTGGAACCTGTTTCATGGTTGTTTGATTTTTTTTTTTTTAACGTTCTAATCGTAGAAAAGAAAAAAAAAAAAAAAAGAAAATCATGTAAATTGACTAAACCTAAAGCCAGGACGGGTGCAAACCCCCACCAGCTCTTTTTTAACGCAGTCTAACTGATTTCAAGCCCCCCCGGGGGGGGGTGTCGTGGATGGCGATTTTCCCACCCGGGGCAGCGGTTGGAGCGCTCGGGTGTCCCGGTGCGGAGCCTCCGCTTTGGTTTAACCTGGGCAATATTTGCCCGGCAGCCCCACACTACAGCCCCGGACCCAGCTCCCCTCCCCGCGCTGTGTATAGACTGGAAGATATTTATATTATATATATTTTTGTTCCGTGGTTGTTCATAGGAGCCCTTTTAAGTTATAGCGTTTGATTCGACGAGCGACGTACTGTAAATACTCTCGGCGTATAGTCACGTTGTACAACGTCTCCACAAGGTACAGACGCAAAGGGGGTAGTTTTATAGCGACGAGGAGCAGCTTTGTCCACGGGTAGGACGACTTTTGTATAGTTCAGTACCTGCACTGTAGTTGTACCTATTGCACTGAGTTCCAGGCTGTAGTATATTAAAAACAAACCCCGGAAAATACCTGTCCTCTTCAGAGATAACGGGAATGATCCCGGCACATCCCTGAGCGCAGCTGTGGGAGCTCCCAGCACCTTCCCCGAGCCACAGGCAGGGCTTGAAGTAGTGTTTTTTCAATGTATTTGGGTTGGAATTGATTCAATGTGAAAGAAAATAAAGGCAAAGGGGAGGGGAGGAGGGGGGGGGGGATATAAATCACTCCACAAGTTCCCTGTGCTAAAGCCCTTGTGGCGCCTGTGGGGTTTGGTTTAAAACCCAAGTGTATAAAGTGAAGTGCCCAGAGGAAGGTGCGTGGAGCGCTCACAATAAAGGAGGATGGACGCAGTGACCTGGCCTGTGCCTTTGTTCCGGGGTTGGGAAGCTTGGGGCATTGTGGGCACCCTCCAGCACTGTGTCCTCCTCATCCTCCCACCTGTGCTGGTGTGTAGGTGCCATTGTCTGGGCCGGGGGGGTACTTTGCTCCTACAGAGCCCCCATCGCTCCTCTGGGTCCCTGTGAGGATTTTCCACCCTAGGTATAAGATTCCCGGTTGCAAACCACCCCCTGGGGGTCCCAGCCCCTCCATGGATCCCAGCCCTGCCTTGGATGTGTGACTGTGCAGGGCTCCAGCACTGCCGGGCCTGCTCCTGGCAGGGTTTGTTCCTACCCCTCTTTCCCTGCCGAGGCACCAGGACCTGCAAGTCTGAACATTCCAGGCAAACAAATGCTGCTTTTGGTCACTTCAGGCTCTTTCTCCTCTCCTCACCCCTGGGGCAGGTGTGGAAGCAGCTGGTGCAGTGCAGGAAATGACTAAAATCCTTCAAACCACCCCAAAACCACTCCTGATTTGCGCCAGGCTCTTCCCAGCGCCCGCCCCAGCAGTTCCTGAGGTGCTCATCCCAATGCACAGTTGATTTCCATGCTGTATTTGCAGGGTGAAGCTGCCCGGAGCAGCGGTCGGGAGCCGCTGGTCCACGGCGCAGGCTCAGAGCACCGGGATTACCGGCACAGCTCCAAATCCCCGGGCGCTGTGACCCAAATCCCCCATGACCCAAAGCCCTGTGCCAGCAGCGCGGTGTCCCCTGCTGTGGTGGTTACAGCCATAGAGAGGACCAGTGAGGATGGATGCATCCACAAGCATCTCCCATGGGATATTCGGAGGGTCCCCCCCGGCCTGGCTGCTGTGAGCCCCATCCAGCACAACGTGTACCCACCCCAGCACAGGCTGCAGTGGAGGTGTTCCCTTCACCGGCAGCACCAACCCCTTCTAATTGCTCAGGTCCCAGCTTGACGAAGCGCTCACAAAGCCAGGCCCTGGCCTCCATCCCGCTCCCGCGAGGCAATTAAATGCCCTCATAAATCCTCCTGAAGTAAATGAGACTTAATCACGGGCTTAAAGCCGAGCCCTGTTCAGCCCTTGGCAGCAGCAACAGTTCCCCCTCAGCCTCTCCCAGCTCCAGGAGCCTGGCCCACTCACCAGGGTCCCTGTTGCCGAGGGTCACGTATCCCCCTGCCTGGCTCTCACCGCTTCCAAGGGTAGAATCCCATGGGAGCAGCAGAATGGGGTGTGCTCGGTGGGGGCTGTGGGCAGCAGCACACAGTGCCACAAGGGGACAGCTCCTCCTTCGGAGGCTGGCATCACAGTTCATGGGATGCCTGCACATTTACCCACATCTCCTTTGGGTGGGAAGCTCTGATTGGAGCTGCCTGGTCTGTTTGCCCCCCCTGATGGCTTCCAGTCCCTCGTGCTGTGCTCCTGGTCCTTCCATGGGTGGCACGAACGAAGCCCTTGGCTTCCAGACTCCTCTAAAGCTCTGCAAAAAGACAGCAGCAGGTTTGGAGCAGAGGAGATGGAGTCAAACCAGGTCCTGAGGAGCAGGAGGGTCTGCAGCAACGACCTTCCCTGTGTCCCTGCAGCAATCTCCCCCGCCAGATCCAAAAGGAATCCAAGGAAAGCAGCCACAGAGCCCTCAGCCAGACACCAGGCGGGCGCAGGAGGCTGTTGGTTTATTCATAAACCATCAGGTCATGAATTATGCATCAGGTGCAGGGTGTGCTTTTGTTCCTACCCTCATAACAGGCTATGGAGGTTGGGTGGTCCATGAGAGCGGGCTCATCCCAACAGGAATTGATTTCCAAACACAGGCCAAGGAGCTGCTCTGGTGGGAAGTTCTTCACTTTGTGGAGGAAGGCTCCATGTCCATCAGCTTCAGCAAGTGCCCGAGGGGTTCTAGAGACTCCTGCTGGGGCAGTTGCTTGGCCAGCTCAAAGGCTTTCAGCCCCAGCTCCCGAGCCTGGGATGAAACGGGAAAGGCAAAGGAATTGTCAGGAAATTGGCTTTTCTCGCACTGGAAGAGCAGCTCCAGCTTCTGAGGGTGACCTGAACAAGCTGCTTTGCAGGAGAGAGTAAAGCTGCCAGCAGTGATCACGGTTGGGATCCAGTGGTGCAGACAGAAGAGATTACTAACACCCGCCCCGTGCTGGGGATCATCACCTCCCATCGAATGCAGCAGCTCCCTGAGCGTTCCCAAAGCTGTCTCTGGGAGAACACAGCTGTATTGACTCAGGCTGCACTAAATCCCTCATTTCCCTTGGTAGCTCTTCCAGGGATTAGGCATTCTCACAATTACAGAGCTTTCCCTTTTTTCTCCTAATTTCAATTTGCTTCTTTATGGCTTCCAACCACTGACTCACAGCACTGCGGCTTCCTCCGATACAGCGAGGAGACCATCGGTAACCTGGATCTGAGCCTCCAGGATACAGGCAGCAGCAGCAGCCTGGGATTTGGAGCAATGGCCTGAGCAAAGAAGCCTCATTTCCAGCTGGATTCTGCTCAGCACTTCCTCCAAAGCAGTGTTTGGGAATGGGGCATCGCCTCTGGAATTTTTAGCCATAAAAATCCAGGGGTGCAAAAGCAAAACTGAATCACAGGGTCCAACCGAGGGACACAGCCACGGCAGGGGTCTGGCTCAAGGAGGACACATGTGAGGCCCGTGTCTTGCTCCCTGCAGAACCTGTGCCCTGATGGCTAAATGCAGCTTGTGACCAGCAGTGCCCTGCCAGGGCATCCCAGGGAAAGGAGGAACATGGAAAATATGGAGAACTGCAGGATCCTGCCCCTCTGCTGCACTCTGAGAACCCCCCCTGCAGCCCTGATCCAGCTCTGGGGCAGCAGCACAAGAGGGACGTGGAGCTGCTGGAGCGAGGCCAGAGGAGGCCATGGAGATGCTGCGAGGGCTGGAGCAGCTCTGCTCTGGAGCCAGGCTGAGAGAGCTGGGCTGGGGCAGCCTGGAGAAGAGAAGGCTCCTGAAGGGGAGACCTGAGAGCAGCTCCAGTGCCTGAAGGGGCTGCAGGAAAGCTGGAGAGGGGCTTGGGACAAGGGATGTAGGGACAGGCCAAGGGGAATGGCTTTAACCTGCCAGAGGGGAGACTGGGATGAGCTCTTAGGCAGAAGCTCTTCCCTGTGAGGGTGCTGAGGCGCTGGCACAGGGTGCCCAGAGAAGCTGTGGCTGCCCCATCCCTGGCAGTGCTCAAGGCCAGGTTGGACACAGGGGCTTGGAGCAAGCTGCTCTAGTGGAAGGGGTCCCTGCCCGTGGCAGGGGTTGGAACTGGATGAGCTTTAAGGTCCCTTCCAACCCAAATCATTCCATGTTTCTATGGATCCACTGTGGCCTGACAGAGACCAACACAGATCCAGAGGGATTTACTAGCCTTGACAGAGGGCAGACCACGAGCAGCTTCACGCAGGGTCACTGAGACAGCTCCGTCCTTGGTCACCCAGCACTGCGAGGCTGTCATGGACTTGGGAATGGTGCCAGGGGAACAGAGCAACAGGCTCCATGAGGTGAGGTGAGCATGGGAACAGAGTTAAGCAGTTCCCCTGCACCATTTCCCTGGGCAAAACCTACCTTTGGTATATCCAAGAGCAGGTAGTGAAGCATGGCAAGAGCGTGCAGGACTCTGGCAGTTTCCCCAGGTTGTTGTGTTGGTGCCTGTTCTCTGATGTCTAATATGGCATTCAGCACTCGGATTCCTTCCACTTGCTGGGCTTCAGCTGCATTGGGAATGAAAGAGTCCTGTTGGATGTACGTCTGTGTGCAAGATAATATATTCAAAACTGGCCAATTATCTCTTCTAGACATCAAAGCATTTCTAGTGCAAGCATCGACGTGGCATCCCCAGCTCCATGCAAATTGCACACCCATTAGCAGGTATCTTTTCATCCAGTCAGTAATTGTGTTGATTAGCCTTTAGTAAGGATGTGGAGTCAAAAACAGCTGCATGAAAAGAGCAACTTTCATACTCCTGTCAGAACCAAGATGCTATCGGGAAGCCCTGTCCTGGGGTGGCTCCGACTGCAGTGACTGCTGATGGAGACAGTGCCTGTGATGGGGTTTACAGAAACCTCTCTCTTCTCTGACCATATCCTTATTGGCAGAGATGGTTGAAAGAGGACAAGGACCAGAGTCTGCTTCAGGGAGCACAGGGTTGTACTGCCTACCTGAGCACATTTCCTAATGCTTTTTGTCATTGAATCCCAGCCTGGTTTGTGCTTGGAATTGCCCCAACCCCAGTGCAGGACCTTCGCTTGTCTCATGCATCTTTCTGTCCTAGTGAGAGATTCCCCAGCTTCTCTCCCAAGAGTATTCTCTAGATTAACACATCAGATTATCAGTACACGCTATTCCACAGTGTTCTGTTGTTTTGGAAGATAGAGTTGCAAACCTGCCTCAGTGAGCTGAAACGTCACTTGCACAGAATTCAATGGAGACAAAGGAGCTGCAGAGAAATGAGAATGTTGAAGTGGAACCGAATGCCTGAAAGGCAAAATCCTGTCTTGTTGAAGTCACTGCCAAGGGCACAGTGAAACCAAAGGGTAAAGTTGTCTTTTCCACCTGAACACCCTCATTCCTGAAGTGGCCTCACTTGCTCCATCCATCCCTGAGCATCAACATCAGACAGACCCGTGCCTGCCTTGCAGCTGGGTCTGTGTAAACACCACACAAACCATGACCTGGAGGATGTATGGATTCTCTCAAATCCCATCTCCAAACCGCTCTGTGCCACGGAGGTGCTTACTCATGGGCTCCTCACTGACTTCCCTGTCCTCGGTGAACGGGGATGTTGCCGGTTGTGACTTGAGAACCTGCTGCTGGGCTCGGAGTGACTTCAGGAGAAAGGAATGCCAGGCGCCGGTCACCTACCCGGAAACAAGTGAATTATTGCACTTTATGAACACCCAGCATTTAGCAACTGCTGGTTCTATAAACACCGTGTGCTGCAGTGCTCGGCCCGGCTGCAATACCTCACACTGGGATCTGACTGCTCCTATCCCAGCTTTTGTGTGCACTCGCAGCCCAGAAACCAACCGTATCCTGGGCTGCATCAAGAGGAACGTGACCAGCAGGTCAAAGGAGGTGATCCTGCCCCTCTGCTCTGCTCCTGTGAGACCTCACCTGGAGCATTGTGTGCAGTTCTGGTGTCCTCAACATAAAAAGGACATGGAACTGTTGGAACAAGTCCAGAGGAGGCCACGAGGATGATCAGGGGCTGGAGCACCTCCTGTATGGAGCCAAGCTGAGAACACTGGGGCTGTTCAGCCTGGAGAAGAGAAGCTGCGTGGAGACCTCAGAGCAGCTTCCGGTGTCTGAAGGGGAGCTATAGGGATGCTGGGGAGGGACTCTTCATTAGGGACTGTAGTGACAGGACAAGGGGTAACGGGTTAAAACTGAAACAGGGGAAGTTTAGATTGGATATAAGGAGGAAATTCTTTCCTGTAAGGGTGCTGAGGCACTGGAATGGGTTGCCCAGGGAGGTTGTGAATGCTCCATCCCTGGCAGTGTTCAAGGCCAGGTTGGACAGAGCCTTGGGTGAGATGGTTTAGTGTGAGGTGTCCCTGCCCATTGCAGGGGGGTTGGAACTGGATGATCTTAAGGTCCTTTCCAACCCTAACTATTCTGTGATTCTATGATCCCAGTGGCAGCCTGGACTGGGAACTCAAATCTCCACCCGAGTGTGAAGTTTCATCAAACTTCAAGTAATGTGACTAAGCAGTTAACCAAACTGGGTTGGTGGGGTTGAAGGTTGTGGGGGGAATGAGGCTGATGCTGCCAAAGCCCTGTTTCCACAGAAAACCAGGATAGGCAAAGGAAAGCTCTTCCCCCCCCTCCCCAATCATAAGAGTGATGAGAGAATTATTCCTTCCCTTGCTTGATCCCCCTGCTCCAACAGTCTTTTATCCGTGTGACTTTTAGCATCAATTTTAGGTGGCTTATTTCTACCTGCTGCTTTTCCCTGGCTATGGCAACTCCCCAGTGACCCTCTCTCCTTGTGGGTGTCTCTTTAACGTCTGGCGCAGGGTAGGTGGTAGCAAAACTGGTTTGGAACAAGGTTTAATTGTCCAAATGGAAGATAATTTGAACAACAATCTGTAACCCAGGACAGGATTAGTGTCTGCTGGGCTTTTAAGTATGAAAAGGGTTTCTGAGATCGATCCTAAAAGGCTGCACTGGCACTTGATACGGTCGCCATCATATGAAGGGCAATCAGAAATAGGAAGAACGTTAGGAAAAGCACAGGGACAAAAGAGAAGGAGCTGAAGGATGAGCTGTGGTGTTACCAACCTCGGCGTAGAGTGAGTTTGCTATGTCCATTTTGTTCTGGCGGAAGAAAATATCAGCCATGTGGAAATAGCCTCCAGAGGCTTCGATGGACTTCAGTCCAAACGCAGAACTGGCGAGGTAAACCTGCAATCAGTGTTTAAAATGAAGCCAGACTCAGAGGTTTAATGTTCATCTCAAACCTGGGACACTTTTCATTATGGGTTAATAATATTGCAAGCAATCACTTTTTTTTTCCCCTGTGTAACTATAGTGGGAGTTACACCTGTGCAATGTGGGACTACAAAGCTGCGTTTTGGGTTTGATGCAAAGGAATACGATGCTCCCAGATCCCCTGCAAGCTGGGGGCAGAGGAACCTCACTGCAGTGTGACCCCAAGGAAGCACAGAGCAGGTTTCATAGCATCATAGAATCCCAGGCTGGTTTGGGTTGAAGGGAGCTTAAAGCTCATCCAGTTCCAACTCCCCTGGGCACCCTGTGCCAGCGCCTCAGCACCCTCACAGGGAAGAGCTTCTGCCTAAGAGCTCATCTCAGTCTCCCCTCAGGCAGGTTAAAGCCATTCCCCTTGCCCTGTCCCTACATCCCTTGTCCCAAGCCCCTCTCCAGGTTTCCTGCAGCCCCTTCAGGCACTGGAGCTGCTCTCAGGTCTCCCCTTGAGGAGCCTTCTCTTCTCCAGGCTGAACAATGGGGATTTCAATCCTGATTTTAGGTACCAATGGGTACATTGTACATTGTACCTGAACTGCTGAGCCCTAAGGCATCCGTGTGGCCACGTTTAGCCAAACTTGTGCTTTACCAGTTATCTGTATTCCCCTGAAGTGACATTGAGACCTTGTCTTTACTGCATCTGCTTATAGATTTATCTATCAATCAGCTTTGTTTTGGTGCTGAGAGGAACAGGCATTCCAACCCCAAGGTGCCCCTTATCCAACAGATAAGTTACTCTATATTTTAGCAGTCTTTTCCCTCAGTTCTCTGCTGGCAGACAGCAGTTCCCTGTCAGCTGCTATTTAACCAATTCCTTATTTAACTGTTTAAATGTCTGGTTCAACAGCATTTCCAATCCCTTTAGCCACAGGAACGGACTGTCAGATTTGAAGTGCCACCCCCCTGTTCCTGGGGATGCTTTCCCTGTCATTTGATCCTCTAAAGGCAGATGAACTCCGTGACATCCTATTTTTGTCCCGTGTGGACTAAATTTATCCAGTGTGGAGTGATGCATACTCACTACTGTTGAATTTGATAGTAGCTTTGTGTGGGTGTAATGATGACATTCAGTTGGGGAGGATTAGATCTTCTCTAGTATAATATATACAGCCCTGTCCTTGCTTCGTCGGTGAACCTCTGGGGAGATTCTCCTCTGTGCCATTGGTTTTTTTAGGTATCCTAAATCTGGTGCCCAAAGGGGCGTCAGGTAATAGCTTTTTGCTATTAGCAAGTGGCTGCTCTACGTCAGAGCAGCCTGAGACCTGCCTGAACTTTGGCTGCATGTCTGAGATCTGCTGAGAGTCACACGCCAGCTCAGAATAGCTGGAATGCACCACTGCCTTCCACTGCCTTCCCACTGCCTTCCACTGCCCTGGCTCTGACTGCAGTGCAGGAAACTGGATCAGCTTGAAGGTCTCTTTAACCCAGCCCGCTCTGTGATCCTATGGTGAAACCTGCCTGCCCAGGTTTCCGTATTGATCTGAAGTGTTAGGGAAGGAAGAACAATTGAAGCCTTTCTGCCTTTCAGTTTGCTTACGTCGTTTGCCAGGTGGTACAAAGCCTTCTCAAAGTCCCCTTTAGCAGCACAGAACAGCCCCAGACTGCGATGCAGTTTGTACTGAACAGCAGCACTGCAGTCTGGAGTTCTGAGGATGAGCCACTCGGCTTGGGACAGATACTTTGATGCCTCTGGGAGATGTCCAGCACCTGAAACGACCCATAGAGATAAGCAAGATAAAGAGCATGTTTGAACTCAGAAATGTAGGGAACGCTGCCACCTGCCCTTGTGCAGTAGCTCAATACTGAGACCAAGCTGTAGATTCCACACATCCCTCCTGAATGCTCCTTAGTCAAGCAGGTGTCCAAAACCTGATTTACGGCCAGGTCGAGTGTCCCGAGCTCCCAGAGGAGCCAGGAGCCGTGTATGGCATTCAGTGTCTCCAAACACGTGCTCCAGACAGGTTAGCTCTGGGCAGCCGCTGCTGACTCATGCAATATCACACTGGAATTACTCATGGCACCTTTTCCCCCTTCCCTCACCACACCATTTACGCCAGTCCTCGAGACAGCTCCATTCTGCTGGCAGAGCGTTCATTGTGTGTGCCCCTGCAGTGGGGATGATTTATGGTGATTTCTCAGCCCTTACGTGCAGCTGAGGGAAGCAGCTCCCCACATGCAGAGCCCTAATGGGACCTTTTGTCTGGAGCATAGAGGCCGTGGCAAAAAGCTCTGCTGCAGGCAGGGTGTGCTTTTGTGAACGAACCGAGGTGCTCCTCTCATGCAAGAGCCTCACAAAAGGTGTGCTGGTTCCCTGAGATAAGAGCCCAACGAAGCACCCTGGGGAATTTAAGGCTTTTGAGTCATAGGAAGCCACAGAGGGAGAGATTTTCACACTGCTTCTCTTGTGGGAACAGGGCAGAGGGAGCAAACATTTCATCTGCTTTCATTGCTCTCCCATCACCAATGAGGGGTTCTTTTCCCCAGAGCCACGCTGGGAAAGGGGTGTGTGTGACTCCTCCAATCTCTCTGAAATGCCCTTGAGGCAGGGCAAGGGAGAGAACATGGCACAATGTTGAAAGGCAGAGCTGCTCCTTCCCTGATAAATGCTAAAAGGAAACCAGAAACCTGACCCAAGGGAGGTCTTGCCCTTGCCAGTGTTGCTATTTAGACAATACTTAACCAGCGGAGGCCTCAGCCAAGAGGAGATAAGCAGGCACCAGTTGGAGGGAATCGGAGCTGTACACCTCGATGCTGAAGCGCAGCGCATGCAGAGCTGCCGGCCGCGCTTCCTCGTGCTTCCCACCCCAAACAAACTCCTGGGCTGTGCTGTACGCCACGTCGATGATGTGTTTCTGCAGGGAAACATGGGATTGGGACACAGTGAGCAAAGGAGTCAAGTCTGCAAACTGTCAAAGTGATTGTAACGTTGTCTGTGTCTCTAATCAAGGGATGGAAATCAAAGCTGCTTCTAGCAGGAGTAGCCTTGGACATCCTCTTAGCTCATGTGGTGTCTTAGGAGACAAAGAATCCTTTACACCTACCAAAAAGGGCTAATAAGGCTGCAGCAATAAAGGCTGTGAAGCACAGAAAATGACCATCACAAGACACAGAAAAGAATTAGACAAAGGGGCTGCGGCGGGGGTTTGCTGACGGTAACAACAGCGACTCAGAGCATACGGGTTGCCAAGCTGGTGCCAGCACGGGCACAGCTCCAGCAGCAGGAGGCACGGTCTGCAGGCAAGCAGAGGGCTCCTCACACAGTGCTGCAGCTTCCTCCCACCTTCTCCCAGCCAGTTCTGGGCCTGGTATTATGGGCACAGGGACTGGAAAGGCGGTCAAAATCCAAACACCCCAACGCACTGCATCATGCTTTGGGACACCCATTGCCCCAGCCGGGTCCGGGGCTCAAAGCTTCTGCTTCTCTGTTTGCTGCCAGAATCCAGACCGTTTCCTGTACATGCAGCTGCTCCCTGCCTCCTGCAGCTCACATTTGGTCTTTTCACCCTTTGCAGCATCTGATCTAGTCACCAGCTCCACAAGCTCCTCTCCATCGGAATGCCTGTTCATTGCCACGAGCTCTACAGCAACTGTGGGTGCTGTGCCCCTACGACGTGCAGAGGGAGGCCAGGGAAAGAGCCAGGATGATTGTTTTATGGTTGTTATTTCTCTTCTCTTTCAGCATAGCCCTTGCCAACTCCCAGCACTTCTGTGTTGGCTCTTCACACAAGTGATGCAGTGGGAAAGCTGCCTGGAAAGAATCCTGTTGGTGCTGTGCCTCGCAGTGCTGCCATGGTAAGTCAGGGAGGCACTCGCTCTGCTGTTGCTCAGAGGCATGGGCAGGCCTGTGCAGCAAGGAAAATATCATCTTACTTCTTCATTGCTTTCTGTTTTCCAACTGGGGCTGAGCAGAGGGCAGAAATAAGAAATCCCAACGCTTTTGGAGGCCAGGCTTTGGCATTTTGCTGAGCTTTAAGTGCTTAAAGAAGGGCAGAGAGGATCAAGCCATGGGTGAAGGAACAGTTCAGGGACAGAGGGCCTCAAGGACTGCCTGGGGGTGTTTCCTGGAGATCCTGACTGAGATAAAGGAGCATCCTTTCTGGATAAGGAGAGGTTTGAGGAATGCACACCAGGGTGACAGCACCCAGATACAGCATGAAGAGCTAGGACACACAGCACCCCCTCTCTACCCCTTAAGCTACCAGTGTATAGACAGTGAAACAGCCACACACCAAACCCAAACCTGTGCTGTGGAGCATGTGGCACCTAGGAGAAAGTCAGTACATGCTGGGGGCACAGAGCAGTAGAAGCTGTTATTTATCAGGCTGCCTTTTCTGTCCATGCCACTCTTTGTCTGATGCAACCAGCACCGGCTCTGGTGTGTGGGTACCAGCAGATTGTCATCTGGGGAGGTGCTGGAGATCAGCATCGTTCCTTTTAACTCCTTGTCAATGGCATCATCGCTGCTTCTCGTGATGCAAAGCTATCTTAAAACATCTGCAGTGAGGACAAGGTGAGGGTTAGAGCCTTGTACAGCTCCCAGGGGGAGAAGAAAGGGCAGGAGACAACAGGAGCCCTGCGGCACTGAATATTTAAGGCTGTGCAGTTACAAGCCTTCTGGGGATCGTTAGCTCTGGCCCTGAACCGTTTTCATCTTGCCCGTAGCCCCACGCCCCGGACCTGCAGGCTTTGAGCTCTTTTCATGTGTGCTGCAATTACAGAGGTTTCTCTGAAGATGCCCCCACGCAGTTTTCCCCTGGTTGGGGTTTGAGGAGGCCGAGGACCCCAGCTCTGCTGCAGGTGGGAGCAGCGGGCTGGGAACACGCTTGTGGTTCAGTGCCACGTTCAGTTACTCACTCACAGGCACCAAAAGTGATGCCACGCTTGAAGAAGCGATGATTTCAAGAGGAAGGCTCCCAGTGCGAGGCGAGAGCCCTGCAGCCATGGTGAGCAGTGGTGCTGGAGGCTGCAGAGCTGGCTGAGCACGCAGCTCTCCTGCAGGTGAGGCTATTCTACAAACAGAAACTTGGAGCTGTGTCAGTGTGGAGGTGCAGGCTGCAGGCACCCCCCAGGCTACACTGACAAAAGCAGATTTCTATCAACAACAAAGCTCTGGAGTACAGATGAGGTATGAAACTCAGAACCTGGCTCTCAGCTTCCTGCACCTTCCCTTAAGCCACAGGGCACGTTCATGTGCACAAGCTTTCCTGTGTCCTGACCGAGGCTTGAGCTGCCTGTTTGCTAAACAAACAGCACGCAGGAGTTTGGGAGCTACAGCAGAAGTGTTCCTTTGGGCAGGCTTTGAGCAGGTTTTCTCTCTCATCATCAGAATACACAGCTTTCCCCTCAGCTCCAAAGGCCTTTTCTGAAGCATTTTTGTCAGCTCTGTGAATAGGAATGTGATGAAGCCACAGCAAGACAGGGCATTAAATCATCTCACCCCCTCCATACCACTCCTCAGGCAGCCCAGGCACAACACTGCCTGCCCTGTGCCTTGCTGTGTGTAAAGACACGCCTGCTGTGGGCTAGCAGTGGCCCAGCCACTGAAGCCTTGCTGTGAAGGTGAGCAGGTAAGGAGCGAGACGTTTCCGCTTCTTCACTCCTTAGGAAGGAAGGAAGGCAGCGTGTCCCAGCACACGCTGCTCCCAGCACCTATTATATTTCAATGCTCTGGAGACAAAGGTCAGAGAACAAATGTAATAGAGCTGTTAAAGAGCCTGTAAACCCCTCCACTTGGGTGACTTCCCCACAAAGACAGGCCAGGGCTCGGCTCAAGCTGTGGCAGTCGCTCTCTGCTCACGTGTGCCAGCCAAGGAGAGCTGCTCTCCCTTCTCCACTGCCTCTTCCCCTGGCACCTCAGGAAAAGCAAGGATTAGCTTCCAGCTAATCAAGGAGCACTTCCTTGATCTGGCCTCACGTGGTCTTTTGTAACGTACGTAGCATGATCTTAGTTGCTCTGCGTTCAGTGATGCAACAAGCATGGTGCCCGATATCAGGTGGAGTTTCTTTAAGCTGTTGAGGACACAAAGCCCCTGCCCCAGTGAAACCCATTTAAACTTTTTGCCTTCTTTGCAGCCTTTATAAAAGATCAGCTTGAAACTTGAACCCAACCCAGAACAAAGGAGCTTTTGCAGGTTCTTGGTGTTTTTGGGGCATTCTTTGGACCTTGGTCCTGCCTGGGGTCTTCAGAGAGAAAGGATTCTCAAAACCCAACTGCAATGATGTTCCCCCCAGTGGCACCCTGGGATGGGTACCAGCTCCCTTGCAGCCTTTCTGCTGTCCTGCTCTCCTGCCATGAGGAATCATGCAATGTTAGAGGGATGATTTATTTTTCCAGGCAGGATTTTCAGCAGCAGATGCATTTGGGCGGGTGATTTTTTTTTTACCAACACTATGGAAAAGCAGATCCTGCCATCCCATAAACAGAAAACCAAAAAGAGACTTGAAAACCACTGGGGCTGCACATCTGCACCACCCACAAGGCCAAAAAGCACAGATAAAAGACTTAGTGGGAAAGGGCGTTTAAGTTGGGCAGCTAAACAAAGGGAGGGGATTCATTTCTTTGCCCCCCCTGGAAGGGGAATCCCTCCCATCAGTGAGGGGTGAGCCCAGCCTGGAAGAAGCAAAGCTCAGCTGCATCCCAGACTAACAGGGGAGATGGACTAATTCCTGGCAAGGCGAGAGATCCAGGAATGCTGCTGCTGCTGCGGGAAGCTCAGGACTTCGAGGAAGGACTGGGAAAGGGGCAAGAAGCTCCTCGAATCATGCAGAGGATGCTCCACTCCCCTTCTGGCAGAGGTTTGCTTTAAAAACCCAACCCTAAAGCTCTGCAGCGAGCACTGATGAAGCAGTCAGGTGCCTTCCCAGCCCTGCGTACATCAAAGGAGAGGAAGAAGAGATCTAATGTGATTCCAGTGGCAGCACTTTGAAGTGGATTTGGTTCTTCTTGTACGTACCTGCCTCCTCAGCAGCTGCTCCATGCCATGCTTTCTCTCTCTTTCCGTAGGGGGACAGGGGAGGGACGTGCGGATTGGGACCAGCAGCTGGCATATTTGCTTGTGGATACTGACCCAGTCAGCTTCCTGATGGTCCTTATCACTAACAAAATGAGGGAAGAGTGGTATTAGTGTGTGCTCGGAAATGCTGTCAGGAAAGGCTATTGACTTCGTGTCTTCTGGACTTTCACCCCAAGAAGTACTCACAAAAGTCACCAGCTGTTTGCTCACCCAGCACTTAATATGCTCTTGATATTCCCAAACACAGGAAAAGGGCTGGAGCAGCTCTGCTCTGGAGCCAGGCTGACAGAGCTGGGCTGGGTCAGCCTGGAGAAGAGAACCCTCCTGAAGGGGAGACCTTAGAGCAGCTCCAGTGCCTGAAGGAGCTGCAGGAAAGCTGGAGAGGGGCTTGGGACAAGGGCCTGTAGGGACAGGCCAAGGGGAATGGCTTTAACCTGCCAGAGGGGAGACTGAGATGAGCTCTTAGGCAGAAGCTCTTCCCTGTGAGGGTGCTGAGGCGCTGGCACAGGGTGCCCAGAGAAGCTGTGGCTGCCCCATCCCTGGCAGTGTTCAAGGCCAGGTTGGACACAGGGGCTTGGAGCAAGCTGCTCCAGTGGAAGGGGTCCCTGCCCGTGGCAGGGGTTGGAACTGGAGGAGCTTTAAGGTCCCTTCAACCGAAACCCAGCTGGGATTCCATGACACAGGAGCACGGCGCTCTCCTGCCAGGTCACTGTGACTGTGGGTGTTAAAACCTTTTAAACCCCTCACACAGCTCCCGATACAGCTGCATTTGAACAAATCTCTGCCTTTCAGCCCCCAGCTTCATCCTGGGCCTCCTCCCTGGCTCCACCGTGGGTCTCATCCCTCATCCCTGCCACCGGGGCTTCACCCCTGCGCCTTCCGCTTTACCCCGGTACTTGTCCCTGTGACCTAAGCCTCATCCCAGTGCTAGTCCCTGCCTCTTCCCCCGTCCCCGTGTCCCCTGGTGCTGTCCCTCTCTCCTGGGCCTGCTCCCTGCCTCCTGCCCTGTCCCTGTGACCCAGGCCGCACCCCAGACGTTGTCCCTGGGGCCACCCCGATGTCCTGGGTGCCCGGTCCCGGTCTCCCCTCCTTTTCCCCTCACCAATAGCTCGTGAGGCGGCAGCGGCCGCAGCGACCCCGCGCCGCGGCCCCGCACAGCTCGCACCGGCGGCTCCCCTCCAGCGCGTTACCACGGCAACACTTCCGGGAGCGGCTACTTCCGGCGGAAGTCGAGCGGTGAGGGCGGGAGGGGGAGGCCGCCGCCATGGCGGAGCCGGTGCCTGGGTGCGGGAGCGCGACCGAGGAGCGGGTGCGGGCTTGGGCCGCGGGGCAGGCGGCGCGGGGCCGACGCGTGGCGCTGGTGACGTCGGGCGGGACGCGCGTGGCGCTGGAGGCCCGCGCCGTGCGGTACCTGGAGAACTTCAGCAGCGGGCGGCGCGGGGCCGGCTCCGCCGAGCGGTTGGCGGAGGCCGGGTACGCGGTTTGCTTCCTGCACCGAGCCCGCTCCGCCTTCCCCTGGGCCCGCAGCCTGCCCCAGCACGGCCCCGCGCTGCTCGACGCCTTCCGCATCACCCCCGGCGCCGGTTCCGCCGTAGCCGCTGACTCGGCCGCGCTGCTGCCCGCGCTGCGGGGTTATCACCGCGCCAGGGAGCAGGGGCTGCTGCTGCCCATCGAGTTCACCGAGCTCGAGGAGTACCTGGAGCTGCTGCGGGCTGCGGCTCGAGCCCTCGCGCCGCTCGGTACGGGGATGGGAGCGGGGGGGGGGGTGTGAAAGCTCGGGTGCCGGTGCGGGAGGGGATGGGGAAGCCATGGGTGCTCTGTGGTCAAACCCTTGGGGGTGCTGGGGCTCGCTGTGACAGTGGGGATCCCATTGTGGGGGTGAGCGCTGCCCTGCCTTCATCCCCACCAGCGGGCTACAAACAGCCACACTGGAAGGAAAACCTGTGTGGAACGGCTGCTTCAGGGACTCTGCTACGGTACCCGGGCTGTGAACCGTGTCCGTGCACAGCTCTTGAAGCACACAGGTCCACTGGATTGCGCCTGGAGGCAGTGGTGGTGGTGGGGGGGCGTGTGGAGGGGATGCAGCCCGGCCGGCTCTGCTCCATCGCAGGGCAGCAGCAGGGGGGTGAGCGCAGCCCTGTTTCCCGCAGGCTCCAGTGTCATGTTCTACCTGGCGGCCGCTGTGTCGGATTTCTACATCCCCACCTCGGAGCTGCCCGAGCACAAGATCCAGTCCTCGGAGGGACCCCTTCAGGTGAGGCCTCCCCAGCATCAACCCCCCCCATGCCCGCTGTCCAGGACATCAGTGACAGCCTGGAGAAGAGAAGGCTCCTGAAGGGGAGACCTTAGAGCAGCTCCAGTGTCTGAAGGGGCTGCAGGAAAGCTGGAGAGGGGCTTGGGACAAGGGCCTGGAGGGACAGGCCAAGGGGAATGGCTTTAACCTGCCAGAGGGGAGACTGAGATGAGCTCTTAGGCAGAAGAACACTTCAGAACACCCTGGTTATTAATACCAGGCTGATGGTTTGACTTTATGGTGTGCACTGGTGACATTTTAACCTTGTCTGGGGAGATCTGGCCGAATACTGTCTTGGAAGGCTTCCCAGTGGAAATATTACATGAACTGAAGCCAGAATTTCCCAATTCCCCCTATCTCTTACTAAACCACATCATAATGTTTTTACTGAACCTTTCCTCCGCTCTCTTTCTCCAATGTAGATTACACTGAAGATGGTGCCAAAAATGCTGTCTCCTCTCGTCAAAGAATGGGCCCCAGAGGCGTTTGTTATCTCCTTTAAACTGGAGACGGATCCCTTGATCTTAATCGATAAATCACGGCAGGCTCTGGAGAAATACCATCACCAGGTGGTGGTAGCCAATATCCTGGAGACCCGGAGAACCGCCGTGGTTATCGTCACCAGAGACTCACAGACTCCGTTATCTCTTTCCGAGGAGGAAATAGCCCAAGGCATGGAAATAGAGGAGAAGATAGTGAACTATCTGCAGGGCCAGCACACCCTCTTTATAGAGAAGAAGGTCTGAGGACCGGCTCGGAATGAAACGGGAGATGTTTTCTCTCCCAGGTGAATGCTCAGCGGAACCCGACGTGAAAAGCTGCCGTCCAGAACAGCATCACTTCCCTGCACTGTGGTAATGGTTATTGATGCTTGGTTTGAAGGGAAGCCGTGCCAGAGGATGGTATTCCTTCTGGTGGTTCAAGAAGGGAAGGATGTGTTGGTTTCCTCCTGTTCTGTGGACTGGGAGAACTGGGAGGTGGAGAAATGTTATCTGTGTCTGTATATAAAAGATTGTCCTGAATCTGCCTCCTCAAAGTTTCTTTTTGAACTGTTGGATGGAAGGAGCGGGGCTTGCCAGGAAGCATGCTGGTTTTGTGGCTGGAGTGGAGTGACAGAGTCTGCAATAACCTGGTATGGACAGTGGATGGTGAAACGAGGGTGCTGAAAGATGGAGAATGAGGTGGTACCAACTTGGGAGAGCATCTCTTGCTCCAGGGGCAATCCAGTGGACCTGTGCTTCAGGAGCTGTGCACAAACACGGTTCAGAGCCTGGGTACTGTAGCAGTGTCCCTGAAGCAGCAGTTCCACAAAGGTTTTCTTTCCAGTGTGGGTGTTTGTAGGTCGCTGGTGGGGATAAAGGCAAGGAGCTGTGGCATGGAGCACGGGCAGTGGTCTCTGAGTGTGGCATGGGACAAGAGGTTGGAGGAAAGGGGTTGGTGATCAGCTTGGGAGGAGAGCTGCTTCCTGGCTGTTTGGATGAGGTGGGAACCATAACATTCCTGTTTGTCTCTAAATCCTGCTTCCCTGTGATTACCAACGTGAAGCATATATTCCCCACGCTTGCAAGAAGCAGTGTGCACTTTTGGGGTAAAAACCTTCAAGCTGCAGCTCTCTGGTTGTCCATTGTGTGCCTATTTACAGGCTTTCCTTGAGATAAATTCACTGGAAGCCTGTAAGGAAAGGCAGAAGTGTGCAGGAATGCTGCTTTCACACTGGAAGCCTCTCCAGTGCTCTATTTAAAACCAGGTGGTGACACTGATCACCTGGAAATCGGGTGTGCTCATAAAAAGAGCAGCATAAGTGCAGAAGAGCAAGGAAAGAGTGAGGATGGGCTCAGTGGATCAGGAGGGAGCACTGGATGCTAAAGGACATCGGGAAGGATGTGTTTAGTGGTGGGAGAAACAGCCCAGGTGAGTCAGGACTGCTGGGGCCCAGCCAGGACATGGAACTAACAGTGTGGATGGATACTTGGAGAAGGTGGAGAGAACTGAAGTTCATGGATGTGGAAGTGCCTGTTGGAGAGGTGCAGATAGGAAAAGAGAAGGTGATGGAGCATCCTGCATGTGTGTTTGTGTGAGGTGATGCAGCATCCTGTGCACGTATTGTCTGCAGGCATGAGCCTTGCGAGCTGCCTGCCTTCATCCCCCTGGCCATAACCAATGTGAACATTGAGTCCTCCTGGTGCAGGGCTTTCCATGGTCTTTATATGGAGTGGGTCAGCAAAGATGAGAACGTGAGAAGTTGTGTAAGCTGAACATGCCCTTGGGGGAGCGCTGGGACAAGGGGTGGGAGATGTGCAACAAGCACTGGGTGTTCTGGGCTCTTACTATGATTGCTGGACCATGGAGCTCTTAGACACAAGCTCTTCCCTGTGAGGGTGCTGAGGCGCTGGCACAGGGTGCCCAGAGAAGCTGTGGCTGCCCCATCCCTGGCAGTGTTCAAGGCCAGGTTGGACACAGGGGCTTGGAGCAAGCTGCTCTAGTGGAAGGGGTCCCTGCCCGTGGCAGGGGTTGGAGCTGGAGGAGCTTTAAGGTCCTTTCCAACATCATTGTTCTGTGGTGGTTTATGATTCACTTGGAGGTTCTTGACTGGTTTTACTGCCTTTACTCACTGACTTGGGCAGTTTCTCGCTCTGTGTGGCTCTGCTGTTGCACCGAGCGTCTTCCAGAGGCTGTTTGAAGAACAAAATTGATGGTGCCATTTGTTTTCCAGCTCTGAACTATTTGAGAGGGGCTCCTTGGGAAGCAGAGGGTTGAGCCGTGTTCCCATGGATGTCAATGAATTTGCCATTGGCTTTTGTGTAGACATTTTTATACCAACTGAAGGAGAAGATGTTTGTGATGGCGATTCAAGCTTGCCACAGGTACAGTGATTGTGTTTAAAACAAATTCCTTCACTTACATTTACTCTCACATGATTTGCTTTCCTCTCTAGCCCTGGGATCGCTTCCAGTAAGGACAAATGGATTTTGCTGGGTGTAGTCCTTGATTTCCTTCAGTTTTCCTGCTCTCCTGTTGTGCTTTGAGTACTGTTGATAGTTACCACCAACTCCTTTTGCGGTGTCCTAAGGTAAAACTGGTTCTGGTGGCTCAGCTTGGAACAGTTCCTCTGGTACGTGCTTTATTTAAGGGCAGCAAATACAGGAGTTTGGGGAAACTGATTGCAGTTCTGGGGCTGTTCAGGCCTTGGCTTTTGGGTTTCATGGAGCCCATCTGGTGAGGTGATTCTCAAAGTCACCTGCTTGGCAGTCTGGTTCCTTGGGGCACGTAAAGCCATCGTTTAGCGTTAAGGATGCTGCTGCGGGAGGGAGCATCGCTGCTGCAGGGCTTCATTGCTGGGTCTTGTCCCGTCTTCCCCACGAGGTGGCAGGCGGGTGACAAAAATATCCCAGCTCTGGGTTTGCTTCCTTTGCTCCTTGGCCTTTCCCTGTTTCCTCGGGATTCCTGTGGCTGCCGAGCGATTATTCACACTGCGATGGGAACACAGACCCGTGTCCATGACGGCTTGCTGACTGCAGTGAGTTGTCACCAGCGTCTCTGTGATGCTTTTGGTGCCATACGATGCTTGTGTGCAGCTTCCTGGAGGAGTCTGCTTTGGGCTATCACTGCCAGGCTTTGCTCTTTAAAGCTTGTTGTTACCTTAGCGATGGCATTACCTGCGATGGTCATTGATAAGGCGGTGACCTGGGCAGGGATGCAGCTCTGCCTTCCCCCAGCCTGGCCTCTGCAGTGATGGATGCCAGCCTGGGTGTGTTTTGGGATGCTTGAAGATCATTTTCTTGCCTTTCTTCTCTGCCTCTTCACCTAAAGAAACCCTGCCTGTCTCTGGCACAGAGCAATGGATGTGCTTGTGCTTTAGCTGCAACCCTTTGCCTGCTCTGGGTCTCCAATGCCCCTCTACTGCAGAGTCTATTCCCTGGGCCTCTGCTTTCCATCACAGTTGGTGCAAACCAACCCAGAGCTGCCTCCTGAG